TCACATTTTTAATAAAGTCATAAATGTCAAAGTCCCACAGTAGATCTACCTTAAATATAATTTTCAGACCTTAAGCTCTAAAACTTCACTCGATAAAGATAAATAAATAAAAATGCTCCATCTCTTCTAGGGGAAAGGGTTTATCATATTTTTTTGTTTGTCAACGTTTATCGATAGTCTATAATAGAATATTCCATACAAAATTTGAAACTAACTCGGCTGTTCTAAAAAAATGTATAGCGTTAAGGTGTTTTTGTTCGATTTTGAGGTAAACTTTGATAATTGTTGGTGTCATAAAACCACTTTTTGGGTACAATTTCTCCTCTAAACACTTGCCAGACGATCTAATCAGTTCAGCGACTTAGAAGTTATCCTATATCCAATACAAAAATAATACATTTTAAAAACAATAGCTCATCTCAACACCGCATTGATGCTAAAAATAACGAGCTTTAAGATTATTGGCCGTAACGCATATCGAACTAATTCATATGCGCCGCATGGTTTAAGCTTTACAGTACAGAAAATCAGTTTTTAAAAATTTCCGTTTCCCAGTAGAATATGATATTATTCGTTTTTTTAACATTGACAGTATGTTGTTTTTTCAATAAGTGTTTTTATTTTATAACTCTTTACAGTGCCTTATAACTTTTTTAAAAATATCAATAAAACAAAATATATAAAGCCCAAAAAAAGAAGGGATGGAAACTTTTTATTTGTTAATTTTTTTTTTGCCTAGTTTAGTAATTAAGTCTTGAAATTAGGCCTCAGGTAGATCTAGATTAAGCCTATAACATACACAATTTTATTAAAAATCTGTTGTAAAATTTGTTTTATAAAGGAAAAACTGAAAAAAAGGTAGAATTATACTTTTGATCACTGTACATTTTTGGATTGCGTTGTATGAGTGAACCAACAGTCAATAAATATTTGAAAATATTTTAATTATGTTGTTAATTACCATATATGGGTAACATCGGCAAAAAATTATCTTAGGTAGACGATCAACCCTAATTTTACGTATAAAATATAATTAATTTTAAGCATATTACAGCTTTTACAATGCTTAATCGATTTTGGTATTTCTACTATCTAAAGATTAACATCGAAGCGCTTAGCTTAAAATAATATTATCATTTTCACTTTCTGTAGACATGTGACCTCTTCCGCCCCAATATGCCACGTCCTCACTATACTCTGACCGCTTATTACTGGATTTTTTATTTTTGTTCCACTGCCACAAGATCGTTATTTAGTCGGTAAAACGTTGTCCGTTTTCCGGTAAAAACGTTTTATAAATGTGACAAATGTTTGGCAAAAACCCGTTTGTCTCGTCGTTTGCCGGAAGTATCCGTTTTCTATGTCGTCATAAGATTTGTGCTTTGTCTGGAAATCATTAACCGAAACAGTGACGGCAGCCAAACTAGGAAAATATACGCACCACGTTTTGTGTCTCATGTGAAACTTATGGTATGTACATGCAAGGTGATTGGTTAACTGTGACACAGTCAATATCATAAAAGATAGAAGCCTATTTCTAGTTATTATTTTTCATACTTTTATAGTTAATAGTTCAATGATCAATAGTATTAAAGTAGTGTGTTTTTTGTATGTTATATACCAACAAGTATTACACAATTTTGATTACATAGAATGGTCCAAATTCAGTTCTATTAAGATATTAGAAACTTGCAACCCGCCCACCCTCAAAAAAGTCGTATTCCCAAACATTGTTCCTTTAAAAATTATAGAACTTGAACAAAATAATTGTTAATTTTTCAATTATATTTTCTCTTATTAGGTATTAATTATTCTCTTATGCCTGTTTTAATTCAGCACAGTTTACTTTATGTATTATATTACACCGTATACTATTAAACTTTTGAGTTTGGGATACAGAAGTATTAGTATCAGTGCATGATTTTTTTGTTGTCACGTATCCTACGATATCACGGACTATGAAGCATGCTACCCACGTGCAGTAAGTATGTTAAGTATGATATTACTTACTTGGCGCAGTGTTAACACGTTTCTCGGGTTTCTACCGCCATGTAGTTTGGTGGGATATAAGTAAAAATAAGGAGCTTAAAAACTGCTTTGTTACATACATTTTCTTAGGATATTTTATTTTATTTTCATCAAGAGTAAGACCTAATCGCTTTTGTACGCTTTTTGGTTGTCGCTCGGTTAAGTCAAAAAATTGCTTTTTATCATTAGAATATCATTATGGTGATTAAAGGTAATTAAAAAAATGTTTCCCAATAAATTCTTAGCATTTTATATTTGTATGAATGTTGTCAAGTTTGGAGAGGAGACTTTTCTAAAGGACAGAGCAGTTTTAACATAAAAATACATCTATAATTAATTACAAATAGTCAAACATTCATCTAGTTTTTGGCACTGTAGATTTTGTCAGTTATTACAATTTTTGAGTTTTATGTTCAATATAACTGAGTTTCTAATAACTTCATCGAAAATCGCCCACGTCAAAATAAACAAGAAAAAATGTTGTTTATTAATTTTATAAAAATCCGGTCATTATTAATTAATTCCTTATTTAAATAAACAATAATAATTAATTTTAAAAGAATATTATAGTATTTCATAATTATTTATAGTTTTCAAATAATGGTTTATTATTTATTTTAAAAATGTTCAATTTTGATACTATTATTTGTATATAATCTGATCAGTTCCTCAGAAAAGTTCATTTTTCAAAACATGTTTTACTACTAGTTTACTACTAGTTAATACTAGTTAAAGTGACTTTAACTGTTAAACTCCGTGTTAAGATTCGGAAACAAAAATTATAAATATCAATATGGGAGATTACGACTTGGATAATTTTTTTATTAATTTATCTGAATATAAAATATTTTAAACTGAATTGTCTTGACTGTGAAATGCAGTGAACTAGCGTTACACGTTCACTTGTTTGCAATTAATAAGTTATTGATATCTATTAGGGAAAAATAAAGAAATAATTAGCAATATCGCAATAATTATTGCGAGTCACTCGATTTGTGTTGTGTTGAGAAAAACCTCAGCCAATATACAAGGTGTACCAGGGTTAGTTTGCTGATTTATATAAAAATCCTTCATATAATATTTTGCTAGATCATCGTGATACCCCCTGTATGTTATGTAGTTAAACGTGCTGCGCTCGATTAACGGGTTTTTCTAAAATAACGGTGTGTCGTTAATGTGATTAAATATACTTATAAAATTATCATACTCAGGTTGTAATACATTATTAATAAAGAGTAATTAACTATGTAGGCTAAGTGTTAAAATAACTATACATATATTATTTCGATTGTACTTGTGAGTAACCTGTTGTAAACGCATTCTCGATTAATTAGGTACTATAATGATCAATACAAATATTTTGATAGACATTAATATGAATAATCCAGTTTCTCTGTAAAGTCAATTTATTACATACAACCGTCTTTTATCGTAATTAAAAATATAAATGTTAGACTAAGACGACAATAATTCGAATTTTCGCCAAAAAAACAGGGTTATCAAAACGCATGCTAACTCGCGTTTTTGCACAAATTGGAATTTTTCGAATTTCAATCATTTTCTTGTTAAGTATTGTATTAAAACCATTTTTTTTACTATATTTCTATTTAAACATGTCTTTATAAATATTGCATTTTTTCAAGAGTTGAAATGGTATTTATCTAATGCTAATTTAACCAAGTGTCTTTTTTTTTAATTTCAAAATTGTTTTTTGGTTTACACTAATAGTTTCTTTAAAACTATTTTATAAAAGATTCGGTGTGGGAGGGCAGTTTAAGTTCTCGTCTTTACAAAAAACCTAAGAAAACATTTTCATTTGAACAGGACAAATTTTAAGATTAGAAGAAAAATAAATTTTAATAATAATAAAATAAATATTAGCTGTTGTTTTAATAATTGCCGCTTTACCAAAATGTACATGTATTATTTTTTATTCAGCAAAAATAATTTTTTCTGAAATGTGATACAAATGGAATTTCCAGTTAATATCTTATGCATTCCAGATGTTCCTTGTACATAATATATTGTTATAAAATGTGTAAAAGATAATAAATTTTATCTGTCGTAGCATAAAATATAAAAAATTGTACTTTCAGTTTGTCATTTATTAATTTGTTTGCTTCACTAGATTAATAATAAATCCATTAGTTTATTTTGTTTCAACAAGAACGAATAAAAGTAATTCTTATTTTTTGTCGACGTGACTACATTGGAGTCGGTTTACTTCGTAATACTAAATAATAAAAGTATTACGTTAAAAGTCTTATGCTGGGTCGGAAAACATCCATTAGGGTTTTTACGGATTTCCAAATCGTTTGGGTCCATTTCATTTAAATGGACCGTTAAAATTGTTTAAAATAGTATTAACAACATCAAATATATTTTAAGTTATATTAGTTAAATCATAAAAGTGAGTACATTTTTATTAGTTAAACATTTTTTTGTAGCTAATTGTGGATTTTGAAAATACTACTACACCACTAATATGTCCATAGAAATTTGCTTGCGTTTAATTTATTAAAAACTAATTACAATTGAATAATTCTTACTCGTGCGATAGCAAACTTGTTTTTCTTTTGATGAACAATAATTGGACTTTTCGGATGCTTTTACATTGTTATATATCTATACGGTGTACCCACGTCGTGACGTCGGAAGAGACTATTATGGAAGTTTTGCTTTCGGCCAATTATTAAACGGCTGGCTTACCAGAGCAAATCTTATGCGTTCAGCCATCTTATATTATTATTATATCTATAGTCTGGTATTCGTCGTAATAGGTTTGCGCAAAATCTTTGATTGCCTAATATGTACGATATTAAACAACTTAATTTCCGATCCTAATAATTACATACTAAACCGCACATCAGAATGACTCATAAGTAGGGCGGGTTCTAACAGGTCGTTTATTGAGCTTATACGTTGCAAAGTAAACGCCTCATGTTAATAATTTGTTGGTTTCTACGTTTCAGATCGGAAGTTTACAAGGATTTTACCTCTTCGAACACAAACATGTACACAAACGGTCGCTGGAATTCAGCACTGTTCACCACGAGAAGCTCATGGAAGAACCGGAGGTAAATATTTTATTGGCAAAATTTGAACTAAAAAAAAAAAAATTCACCCCTTAGTGAGGTAACCAAAAATTATTATCGACCAGTTATTATTTTCATTAATCATTATGTTTATAACGGGCAAATCTAATATATAAGTCGCTGTTTGACTTTTAAAACACATCGTTTGGTAAACAATATTTTTCACTTGAATATTAAATAAAATATTTGATCATTATGTATAATAACAATTAACCCTGATTGTATTTCAATTGTAGTTATTAATATCGGATAGTTGATTTATTTTCCCACATAATTTATAACAATTATTTTAGTAGTTTTGGATTTCAATACAAAGTGCATCTTACTCCTTAAGATTGCGCTAATATATCTGTTGTAATTTTACATTGTTTTATGAAATAAGTTTTAAAAACTTTAAATAAAACTCAAGAATTTTAAAATATTTATCAATCAATTTTAATCCCTAAATATCATGTTTTCGATAACGTAAACATTATTTTTGATCCCTTTTTCTATCTTACTTTTAGTTTTTATCTTATCCGTTTTCCTTTATAACCAATTCATTGAATTTGACCAAATCGATTTAAAATTACTTAACTAAAGCAATGTTTTTTTTTTACGGTAGTGGCACTCGAGTAATAATTGAATATTCGCTATTGTGTCAAAGGCAAAGCGAAAAAATATATTATTATTAAAATGCAAAATTATGTATTTTAGTATTTTTTTTTTTTTAAATTACTTTTATCGCACAAAATTATTGTTTTCTTTTGTCTGAGCATTGTAATATTTTTCAACTTAACGGATATTGGGTTTAGGTTCGAGCACCGAGCAGATACGATGACTAATTTGAATGGATTTTCAAAAGATATTGTTTTAACGTTTGTTCTTGTTTCAATATAAGTCTGAATAAATAATAATAAAACGCCAATGAAAAATGTTTCGTTTCCTCTCTTCGCCTCTTCGACGTGTATACCTATAGGTTTTTCGTTTTTAATTCCGGACTGGATATTACTTTTTGTTATTAAAATTTCCTTACTGCAGTTGTCGAACAAGCTGTGTACAACGGAATGGCGATAGACCGATATAATGCGACGATAGTATCTTTTAAAACGCAATGCTGTTTTTTACTGAACTAAAATAAGTGATTAAATAATTTTCAAATAATTTGTTATAAAAGTATTGTAAAAACTGTAATGTGCTTAAAATAATATTTTGTATGTAAAATTAGGGTTAATTAATAACATAATTAAAATATTTTCTAATATCTATTGACTGTTGGTTCATTCACATAATTATTAAGCTAAAAATGTATAACGGTCAAAGTACAATTATTTCATTTTTTTTAGGGGAGGTTTTCTTTTATGAAAAACAAGTTTGATTACTGTTTTCTAACATAGTCGTATATGTTACAGTCCTACTCGAGATCAACCTTTGGTTTATTTCTAGGCTTTCGCTCGAAAAATAGAAATACAGAAACAGTTTCCACCCATTTTAAGGGAAAGAGGTTATAATGTTTTTTGGTTTGTCAACGTTTATAGATAGTACTTCATTTAAAAACTATCCAACACAAATTTGGAATTAGTTCGACTAATTTAAAAAAAAATTGTAGAGTGCCAAATCCTAACTAATCATTTTTTGGGCGTCTTTCTCAATTTTGAAGAGGGAAGTGTTATTTTTTTTTATTTTTAGCCCCAAAAGTATCTTTTGGGTACGATTTTTGATCTACAGAGTTGTCACTTGAAGAAATCGGTCCTGCGGTTTAGACACAAAAAATAAAATAAAAACACATCACTATAAAAACAATACCTTCTTATCAACTACGCATCGAAGCTAAAATATGAGCAACTCGTTAAACATGCGAATTTATGTGATGTTGAATTCTAAGAGAAACAAGTGGTATTCTCACCAAGTATTATCAGTTTTTAACACATCTGAGAGTTAAAGCTATTAAGGGATATTAATTGTTTTACATATTTTGAAATAAACAAATCAAATTACCTGTACCGTTGATTATATACAGATAAATTCTACGGATAAGCGTTACACAAGAATGGCGACCGATTTTGTGTATACTTCAAAATAATACTCCAAAATTCAGTTCCTATACAATTAGAGGACGTAACATCCATTACATAGAGGACTAAATTATGTAAAACCAGTGGTCGATCCGATCCGACTTCACTCGCTCGGTTTGTTTTTTAATTATTGGCAATACTTTAAGTAGGTATAGGCACGTTATCATATAGTTGTGTGTTTATTCCGAATCCAGACCTTGGATTTTCCATATATTTATGAAACCTACATATTTGCTATATTCAAATATTCGCTCGTACGTTGGATTTCGTGTCCGTGCACCTGAAATTAGTTTAAAAATTGATTTTAACGGTATATTTTTTATTATAAAAAAAAATTGTCTGTTACACATCGGTTTAACCTTCAGTCTGATTTTTTCAGCTCATGTATAATTCCTGAAACAAAAAAATAATATAACAAATTTTCCGATCGTTTTACCAAAAACTGTCCACATAAATTGTATTATACTTTGTCTTTTAATTAAGGATGTTATTTACACACATGAACGTTTACGCTTTTTCTTTTACAACAACAAACATTTATTTTTTATTTAGCATGATAGTCTACTTTTCCAAGACAAATGTTCGGTTCTCTGAGAAATAGTTAAATCGCAAACATACTACAAAATAAATTCGTTTCCGTCTCGTTTTCTCATTGATCGATGAAGTCGCTTTACTTTTAACTAAATTATATCAAAGTTAATTGGAGACGTGCGCACCTTAATCAACTCTTAAGTCAATACGATTATGTGTACTCGGAATAATATAGTCTTGATTGTCCCGGTATCGACAGTTGTAAAAGTCTTAATCTGATCTGTTTCAATTAGTTTATTGTACTTTTATGGCGCCACAACACGTTCCGTAAAAACCAGCGGCCATAAAATGTGATCAGTACCGGACAACAAGAATGCGTCAGCATTTTGCGAAAATGTTAACAAAAATTATGTCAAGAAGAATGAAAAGTAAGATCGAAGCTATACTGTCAGAGGACCTGTTTGGATTCAGAAAAAATATGGGTGCAAGGGAAGCAATACTAGCTCTAAGAATAGTAATTGAACAATAATTTAAACAGGATAAACCTACACATACTGTTTTTTTTATATAGTCGAAGAATGTTGGACGGATATGTTGATTACCGAAAAAATATTTCTCTGAGGAAATATCCTCGAAAATTGATGAAAAAATGAAAATCAGAAAAGAAGAAATTAATGGATTGGCCTTGTGCTGAATCATGATGGATTACTTGGATTAACTATAGAAGAATCCTGTAAAATTTTTTCAAAGTCACTTACACTTTTTTGGTTTTTAGTACATCCAAATTTATGTTCGGGTTTGGTTTTTAAGACAGTTTAAATTTATTAGAAAGCGTGATTTATTTCACAACAAACAATAAATTTAAGATGAACAATTTTAAAGTATTCCTACAGAACGTTTTTAAAAAAAAAGCTATTATTTATTAATTCATGAAAAAAAGATTTAAATTTTAAAATAGAAATAACTCGTTGAAATATTTTAAAACTAAAGTTTCAACAGTTTAATACAAACAATGTATTATGTTCTTTTTTTTATTTTCCGTTAAGTTGGTAGATCATTTTTAAAAAACTAATATAATATTATTTATATATAATTTATGTATTAATGCGTCAACGTGGCTGCTACGTTCGTTGTTATTAATAACTGAATAACGTTTAATTATTAACTCACAGATGGACATTGAAAAAATTATAAACTTTTGTTAGACTTTATTATATTAAAGGAAAAACTTTTGATTGAGACAAGAAAAATCAGAATATAAGATTCCTTAAAGTCAAGTGGGGAAGTTTGCTTCCATTGTTCTTGAGTTGGAAGAAAAAGCAGATAAAGGATTTTTTAAAATTAATTAATTATCGGAAGTTTTCAAACTTCCCATAATTATTTCTAACGTTTAGCTGGGTTAAGTTATTTTTAGTTAATATAGAGTTAACTTAGGGTTAGTTACTTTAGAGAAAAACAATCAATATATTTTCAATGTGCCGATATTAAATTTTTGGTTTTAAAGTTTTAAATTCGAGGGACACGCTGTACAGAACATTATTCGAATTCAAACAAAAACTAGACAATTTTCATAGATCAAAACATTTGGAGTGGAGGAGGTTTGGGAAGTGAAATTCTTTTAATTATAATATATTTTGTTTTAAAAAATTAGTGTGAAAAACTGCATTGAATACTTTTTAAGGGCTACTTAAATGTTGAAGAATGTTAAATCTATTTAAGTCCCACCTTCATTTGATTCGATTTTGGTAATTTAGAGGTGAACCTGGACTTGTGGAATTTGAATAACAAATAATAATTTCTAAATAATGAGTTATTTATGCGAAATAAATTAGCATTCAACTGTTTCAGACAACCTGTTATCGACTGATTTTATTATTTATATTTGTATTTAAATAAAAAATCATTTTGAGTTTAAATGAAATATGTATTTTATTACATTTTTTTTTTTGTAGTTTTAATTTGTCCAAACACAATTTGGTTTAACCTTACATATTTTAATGAACTTAATTTAAATCTGGCTTAACTAAGCGCTTTTAAACGTTTTCTCCAATTAACACAGTTTTTCTATGTATGTATTTGTTTTAAAATGTAATTGCCAAAGTTAAAAACTAATAGCAGTACTTATGTTAACATAAAACGGGTTTGCCACAGTACTGCGATTTTGTGGCTTTTCACGTTTGCCCAGGCAATAAAGCGATTCGCTATTTTGTTGATATATATATATATATATTTTTTATGTCTTTGTATGTACAAAGCACGGTTTAATTTTAATATATTTTAAGTTACTACCGATTACAGCTGTTATTATTATTGCTATTATTTTATTTCGTTCGAAATTGCACGAGTTATTAGATTAGGTTCAGTCGACGGTCGTCCGGAACAAATCGTCTTGTAAAA